CTGCCGCCTAAATCCGGCTGTGTGGCGAAAACAGCCCATATGGATTTTGGGATATCCAGGGAATTGCTATGATGCGGGCTATTAAAAGATAACTTAGCTAATAAAAAATTCGCTGTTTCCCTTTTATTAGTATAGATTTTAAATTAAATATACTTTAAATATGCATATATTTAGGATGACAGAAAAGAAGTTGCGCACCTGCCGTGAAATATATATTTTTTTTAATTTCCGCGGCTGTTGGAGTTTTCGAACTCCCGACCCCTAACGTATTAGGCAAGCGTGCTACACCACTGCCGCCACAGCGGCAGCGGGCAAACGGCGCGTTACTACATTGGTTAATGGTAGTGAGTAGTGACGTCGATCGATAAACCGGTATGATATCGGTAAACGCAGTGTTAAATAAAATGGCTGAAATTCAACTTTATCGTGTTTTCATCTGTTTTGAAAAAGTGTCGCCCCATCATTACTCTACGAGTAGTAATGCATCGTTTACAGTCAAGCAATTTGAAATCATGCGAGCAGATTAAGAGAACATAGCTAACAAAAAATGGGCTGTTCCCTTTTATAGTATAGATAACTCACTGCGAAGCAAGCTGTCTCGCCGGGATTGATGTACTGTATGTGTCCAGAGACTGCATTCTCACTCACGCCTGACTCGAACCACTGCTGCCCCACTTCATTGCAAGCCTATTATATGAGAGGAGTACAATTCCAATATGAGATAATTTATAACATAAATGTGTATTTTTACATTTATAATTTATACTATCTTAACCTTTTTCCTAACAAACTTCATGAAATAAATAAAAACTCACTATCACCTTCACATTTAAAGGACATAGGCTATACCGAGACACTAAACATAGTAAATTTTTAATATCAATAAATTGTTAATAGAGTGCCATTACATAAAGGACAAAATCAACTCACTGTAGAGAATGTTTACATTGCGATACATCTCTCATATATAGACTGTATAAACCGAAAGTGACGTAATCTAACTAAAGTAATCACTTATGATCTTAGGGGATCCAACAGAGTGAGATGATGAGTCAATAAATGTATTAAAACGATCATTGCGAGAATTTTGCTCAGAAAAACTAAATATAGCTGAATATAGTCTCACCTGACAGCGAAAATATCACTGATTACACCAACATTCAAAACACCAATATTTTATGCAGTTATAACATAGAAAAATTGATTTGACCACATCATACCAGCAATACATTTTTTCGAGTCAAGACTTTCAAAAATCACAAATGGCGTCTCAAACAAGCGAACATAATTAAAACAAAGGCGTGAAAGGGGCATCTATTTGTGTGTGATAAGTATTCTCGCTGGCAGTACGCAACGAGGATTTGATCCACTTCTCTCTCCGTCTTCGTTATAGTCCCTAGGACTTTTGAAGACTAATATTTATGAGGTTACAATTTACACTCTTGTTTGTGTTACGCTACTATGCACCTCTGTGTTTACATCTGACCAAAAATATCTCCGGTGTAATTTTTGCATTACTGTACCCTTGTTGACGTCTCGCGGTACCGCGAGAAAGTGCGAGACATGACAGCGAAAATCAACAAGAGAATGCAAAATTGTAATCGTGCATGATTTTGTCTTTGCATGCGGTTCTAAGATATTTTATTGTTATTTCAAACAATTACTGTTACTCAAGCAACAACGGTAGGCATCATGAGAGTGAGAATAAACACTAAAAAACGCTGAAAACAACTCACAATGATCGCTTTAAAGGTATTGATTAAATTCGTTGGTTAAATCTGTTTATATTCATATCCATCAGTCTTCAAAGGATATTACACTCACGGTATTTATTGCCATTCTAGCCTCATAGTTGTCCACACAACACAGCACCAGATCAATGGGCAGGTCACCTTGCAAGCTACCATTGCTATGAAAATGACCATTCTATTAGAAATTCCGAACCAAAAAAGTCCACAAGTATGATTCACAATTATACCACATTATATTGTAACAAGAGCTCATAATAGAGCTCTCTAGATTAGTATCTTAAGATTAGATTAGAGCTCTCTAGATAGACTCTTGATTGTAAGCAGAGTGCAAGAATTCATGGAAGAATGCATCATAAATTTTTGTACGTTAATGCTATATACGACAATCAGTGTGTAATTAGCTGCGTTCACACGAGGATTTCAGTTCCGTATTGAGCGTTCACACGGTAAAAATATTCAAGACTTATACGCGGCTTAGCAAGTACCGTACTGAAATACGAGGCTTATTCGGTGCAGAATCACATTCCGCTCTGAAACATTCGGCACCAGGCTGGCCGCGTATTGTCTGTCGTGTGAACGCAATTCGAGGCCTCTTACTAGTGATGTCCCGATGATCGATTATAATCGAAAATCGATCGATTATAGTCTCAAATTCGATAATCGATTATGAAAACAAATAATCGATTATCGGAAATACCAAAACAAACAAACAAGGAACTGTACTCACGATGTGTGAATTTATATGACAAGTAGCTAGAGCACAAGTCCTGCAGGGGCCCGTTGTCAGAAACATCGTAAAGTTAATGCTAATGTTAATTGATAACACTTACGACTAATGTTAATGCTACGAGAGTACTTTTAATGTTTTGAACTAGAAGGCATTAACACCATATTTCTTTTAAATTGATTAAATACTGTATAGGAACATGACATTGATAGACAATACAACGCAGCAACCTCACAGAATTAATTACATTGATCATAACATGATAATATTGAATGCTATGTATAATTGTTATATAATATATATACCAAAGGTAAGATTAAATTAAATCCAGGGTTCTCGCCTACGTTGCGGCAAACGGGCGGCGCGCGCCCCGTTTGAAATAATCTCTTCCCCTGTTTGAATCCGTTGGGCCCCGTTGGAAAATTATCTCCCAGCCCCGTTTAAATTCCACCACAATATAAAGTTGCCAGCAGCGCGAATCGAGTCCGTCAAGAACATTTGCCGGGTTCGACCAGGACACCGACGCGACGTGTATTTTACCGACCACGCATGCACGCAGACAAGTACCCAGATTAAGTGACATGCACAGTTAACCTGCCATAACTGTACACCGACTCGGCTATCTATATATATACAAAACCACCAAATACCGTCTATGGTGTGGTCGATTTTACGCATTAATTAGTCGTACGGTAAAAATACACGCCCCCGGACCCCCTGTATTTTTCCTCGCCCCGCCTAGTGTCCCCCTCCCCTCTCCCCCTAGCACCTGCCCTCCCCTGTTTGAATTTATGCCTGGGAGAACCCTGAGAAATCTATCTAGTACTTAACCAAATTATCCGATTATAATCGATTATCGATCGGTTAAGGGAAACCGATAATCGATTATGAAATTCCAGCCGATTCCCATCACTACCTCTTACTGTAGTGCGCTTACCTAGACTGGTACCCGTTCGCTACACGACGTTAGTGTAGCGTGTGGAACTGTCGACCGGGTACCAGTCTATATTATACCTAGCCAGCTAAGCCTCGATTCTCGTGTGAACGCTCCGGGTTGTGTTAGCATGGTATTTCAGCCGAATTCAGCACCAGATAAGTACGGAACCAGCGAGGCCGTGAATCTCGTGTGAACGCAGCTATTGAGAACTTAATGTAATAGGCAAACAGTTATAATTATTATACTAGCAACTATTCAATACAAAGTAGCAACCTTCTTACAGACATACCAAAGTCTTTCCATGAAATGTTTGAAGTTTTCTAGTGTCGTGATGTTGTAGTTGTATGTCTCAAACTCTACATCTGGGTTGATTTCTCTTCAAATACAGAAACTTCTATATTATACACTGTTTGGGAGTTTACAAACAATATATTGCAAGTAAAGCGCTTTTAAAATTAGCAACATACCTTCGCATATAATTTACATGCTAATAAACTGCTAAACCCTAATAAATGTACATGCTATATTAATTGCTATATTACTTTATTTTAATATGATTTCGGCTCATATAAGGAGGTATATCTTATGTAATTATTACATTTCCATTCACCTTAGCGTCCGTTCTGCAGCCTCTACTTTGCTGAGTCCTGCTTGATGTGGTTGAAAGAAAAGTCTGTTCATGTTGGCTAATTCAACTTTGTCGTAATCAAACAGAAGTAACTAGAAATGTGCATACATAACAATAAACACACAAAAACCACTTTCAATGGCACAGATGCGGAAATAACAACATTTGGCTTCTTAAATTGGATTCTTCAATAAATGACTTTTTGATGAGAAATGTAATCTGGATGTGATAACACCAAATATGGATTCCGAAACACTTTAATGTAACTTAATAAAATAAAGATATCACTGCTTACACATTATGCCAGCAACATTATGTGAGGCTCACTGACCTTTCCAATACCACATCGAGTCAGCATTTCAGCAGCAACACTTCCGACTCCACCGATGCCAACCACAGCCACCGTGTAGTCGCGTATTTTCTAAAATTACACACACTGTAATAGTCAGTAAATATATAAACAAGGCCAACCATTTACTGTCATTCTTCTTACATAGAAATAGTGAAACTTGTAATAACCTGACATAATTTAAGTATTTTGCTATAAAAGTATAATGCCAGGAGAAAAATAAGGCTTTACTATTTTTACTCTATCTTATTGATAATACTCTGTTTTAATACTGAACTTGTTACCAGCATTGAGAGTAACACTGAACAATCTTAGTGTGTTGATATAACATAAGATTATGATAATATTAAGCTTTTGGGTAGTGCGTGACTAGTAGTTCATTTCTTACCTCGTAATTTTCTACGATGCCCATCCGTTTCAAAGCCATCAATCGACTAAAAAGAAATATTTATTATAATATAACTACCACATAATAAGGTGTAAAACTAACAAAATTCGCAATGTGACTGTAATGACGTAGATGCAAGTACACCAACGAGGCATCTACACAAAATGACCCATTTTCCATGTGTAAGACATACATTTGAAAATCTCATTTGCTCCTCTTACATGAAAGAGTTGTGTAGAAAAACATGTAAGTAAAGTAAAGATTACGTGGGGTTGTGATACTTTGTATCACAGTGTATTACATTATATTACATTGTACTGTCTCTTAATCATCTCTTAATATAACACATTTTTGTATGAGCAACTGCGATTGTATGTTCTATGTGTATGGCACATATAAGTCATGTATAATGTATTGACATCAGTAGCTGCGTTCACACGATATACACGGCCTCGCTGGTTCCATACTTATCTGGTGCTGAATTCGGCTGAAATACCGTGCTAAGACAACCTGGAGCGTTCACACGAGAATCGAGGCTTAGCTGGCTAGGTATGATATAGACTGGTACCCGGTCGACAGTTCCACACGCTACACTAACGTCGTGTAGCGAACGGGTACCAGTCTAGGTAAGCGCGCTACAGTTTCGCAATTCGAAATTGCGTTCACACGACAGACAATACGCGGCCAGCGTGGTGCCGAATATACGCGGCTTATTCAGTACCGTACTGAAATACGCGGCTTACTCGGCGCGGAATGTGATTCCGCGCCGAGTAAGCCGTGTATTTCAGTACGGTACTGAATAAGCCGCGTATATTTTTAGCGTGTGAACGCTCAAGTACGGTACTGAAATCCTCGTGTGAACGCAGCTATAGTACATACATGTATGTATACATTGTATCAATTATATAGATATCATGTATCTACCTATCACATTCCCATTGTTCTGAAGCAAAATACATAATAGATTAATTAGTAATTTATTGTTAAGAATAAGGCATAATAAGCCCATTGATTATGCAATGTTGACGAATACTAGAGTAACTGGCACCTTGTGTAGTTAATAAGGCCAAAACAAAATATAGGTGTGGTTACGGTTTCCCGACCGACCCTATTTATTTCCAGCGACCCTAAACATTTTATTGTCAATTTTCTTTAAAGTCAAAATAAAAAAATAATAAATTGGACAGTTCCTGCTTCAAAAGCCACAACGCACATCCTTCGGACATGGTTCGTAAATAAAATATTTCAAGAAAATAAAATGTTTTCCCTACCTACCTACCCTATTTTTTTCGGCATGTAACGGTAACCACACATATATTTTGTTTTGGCCTAAGTACATAACCTAGTAGCCAAATGCGTATTAGTTTGTCTAATATCACTGCTGGTTACATTACAAACAAGACTTGAAATCGGTTGTTGATATGTATCAACGTATCATTTACGAGTCAAGCGATGACGTAAACATTTGTGCGGCCCGTATGTTTTGGACACAAGATGAAATGGAGGTGTCAGCGGTGTAACCACGGCCACGGACCAAACATGGAAATGGAGTAAAACACACGTACTAATCACGGACGCACGTGGACAGCCCTAACAAAAAGTTCCTTATCACGAGCGTCCATGTTTACGAAATCACTGATGATAGCATTGCGTACCGGTGCACTATAAATCTGTATCACACCCGCTTCACCGGCAGCGGTTTGAAACTGTAAACAACAGATTTTTGGACTGCGGATTTCAATTAGGCATTTCTTAGTAACCTGCAGTGACATTGGACAAACTAATACGCGTTTGGATGTAAGGTTATGTAATTGTTAACTACACAAGGTGCCAGTTACTCTAGCATTCGTCAACATTGCATAAGCAATGGGCTTATTATGCCTTTAAGATTTACAGAAAAATTGCAATAAGAGATGCAATTTCCTTAGAGATCAGTATTAAAGGCAGTGGTATTATAATTAAGAGGGCTTCCACAAATAGTAATATAATTAGTAATTCCACCACCTACTGGATGGACAGGTTTCTGGTTATCAGGTTTCTGGCAGTTAAAAGATGATCAATAAAACTAACAGCACTGCTCGCTGTTGGGGTACCTGCACAGTGGGGTTGTGCACAGCATTGATTGCGTTGGAGCGGTGCCATCATGCGATCCAGGACACATACTCAATCTAATATTAAGGATACTCTCCACGTTGTGCACGGGTATTGCTCTAGTGAAGATTAAACGTTAATTGGCGAATGAATCGAATCAATCACTTGTTTTATTTATAGAGGAGATATATCTCTATGCTCAAGCCAAAAAATGTCATGAAATTTCCAGCACCTAATTATGTTACCACACAAATTTTGAATTTTTATGTAAAAATGGTATTTGGGATATTTCTCAACTACCAGAAGGAGTGAGGATACAAAATTTTTGCCACATGTTAAGCACAATATGGACCAAAATAGCCCGTCAGGATTTTTCTTTAATTTACATATTTACCGAGAAAACTCGAAAAAAACTGCTTACAAATCAAGTTATGTGTAAAAATAGAAAATTTTAGCAAATAAAGAGGCATAACTAATAAAGTAAGGCACTTAATAACAATCCCTGACGGGCTTTTTTACCACAAAATGTTACCATTAAAACGAGTGTAAAATTAAATTAATCCGAGTTGTAATCACAGAGAAATATCCATTTATACATCGGCTACTATGTCAGAAATCGAAGCGGAGAAATCAGCGTTTTTCTATTTTTCACAATGAGTGACCGCCTGTGTGCAAAATGGGTGAACGTATGTGAAATATCTACTGTTAGTACTTACTGCGACATATCCATGACTAACTGACACCACTAAATTGATTAAATCTTCTATGCACCCTGAGCTCATCCTGACGTCACAAAGCTAATATGTCAACAAACGCGCGCGATGTACTGCTTGTGTTGCAAGGTGTGTTGCGAGGTGTTAGAATTATTTTGGGCATGGGATACTTGTTGGATCACTAGCAGATGTACATGAATGTACATGAATACATGTAATGACAGCTGTAGCAGGGTTGACGCTTAATGATACCGGCTTAGTTAATATCGTGGTTGTATCATGTCTCTGACATCATAATGACGTCAGCCGCTGCTTACTACACATGTACGCGGGCAAGCAAAAACGCTCTGACAGTTCACATGTACCGTTATATGGAGAAATGAGCATGTACACAGGTGGCACATAGTGTTAGCCATCGAATAAAGTTGAAAACGAAAAATCGATGAAATTTCATGCACAACGTGGAGAGTATCCTTAACACATCTTGAAAAGAAGACGGAGCCATTTAGGGGGTACTGTTTTGTCGGCGACAAATGAAAGAACCACACCGAATATAGTACAGGGTTTCTTCTGAGGGAAAATTAGACAACAGAGGTAATGGCCAGTTTGGGGAAAACACGCGCATAATGGATTCAAATTTAGGCGTGTTTGCGCATCTCGAGAACCCAGAAATTTTTGAAAAAATTGTGCAATTTTTTTCATTCTAAGCTATTCTGAACACATTCCATGAGACTCTTTAATCTCTTTTTCAAATTGTCAAAAGGAACAAATAAACAATGAATATGAAATGATACAAGTATTCACATTAAATAGTAATGCCGTTGAAAACGAGGCGAATGCCTGGAGCATGGCAAAGATCTTGAAGCTTCCAGTTATATTTATATTCTGTGTATCAATGATCGTATGAATGTGAAGTTCATACATTTGAAAAATACATAATTCAACCAAAGATTTAAAAAAATATTATTAGTTAATTATCGATATATATGCTCTCATTTGCATTAATAACGCTTTTAAAACAGCATGAAATGCGATTATTTTATTTCAATGAAAGCACTTTCCTGGTGTAGAATACAAACAAACACCCATGCATATGTATGCATAATTATAGCGCCCTTAATTCGCTGCTGGAGTAAACATGGCGCCTGTGGCGCTCAAGTACATGACCAATCATCTTCCTATCCTTCCTATCTATAGGCCTTGCCAAGATTCACGCGTTGACAGTATCGTGAGTATGCGGCGTTGTATCCTACGTTTGAAGCTTTAATTATTTTGATTTTAGTACAATAAAGTGTAGTTTATTGATGGAAGAACATTGATTTTCGTCAGCGAGGCGGTGTTTTTGACAAATTTCCTTGTCGCGGCTGAGAATTTGAGCGAGGCGAGTGTCAATGCAGGGGAAACACTGTATTTATTTGTGGGTTGACACCATTTTGACAACGGCAGGTAAATACAGGAACATTTTCACAAAGGCGGTGCGCCACTGTGCCTCTTAGTCTTATATAGAAGAAACGGCCCTAGCTCTAGTACTATAGCCCGCGTACTGTTGCCGTATGCGGGCTATAGTACTAGAGCTAGAAGAAACCCTGTTGGCTGTAATATATATACGTAACATCGATACTAGCTCTAAAACTATAGCTAGCCCGACCAGGCTGTGCGACGGAACGTCTATATTCTAACCCTAGCAATACCGTTTCTTGGAGCTAAAACTATAGCTAGCCCTTCGCGGCGCAAATCCACTTTAGGCACCTTAGGTATCACGAAGTGATGCACAGATTTCTGTGTATCATCAACTGATGCACAGACTTTCCGTATATCAAGGAATGATGCAAAAACCCTAACCCTAACCCTAAGTGACTAAGTCATAAAGTATAACCTTAGGCTTAGGTATCACGAAGTGTGTTGGGGTTAGGGTTAGGGCTAGGGTTAGGGTTAGGGTTTTTGCATCATTCCTTGATATACGGAAAGTCTGTGCATCAGTTAATGACAGATACACAGAAATCTGTGCATCACTTCGTGATACCTAAGGAGTAAGGTGCCTAAAGTGGATTTGCACCCCGGGTATGTACCGACGGATATTCACTCTTTTGCTGAGCGAATCATGTAAGCAGAGATATCGGCGGCCGGCCTTTTCGGAAATGTGTTTTCGCATATGTGCTACTACAGTACTAGTACTAGTAAATTAATCCGGGGTGCTAAACTAGGCTTCGGCCGTTTTTCCTGCCTCACCTGTATGGATTTGAATCTACCACTTCAGAGCTCATCTGAGAAATTTTCTGTCGAGCAGACTTTGTCTTGTGCTTCTCTTCCTTGAGCTCATCTTCTAGCTGCGCTATCCTTGCTTCTAGACTTTTAATTGATGTCATGGCTGTTGGTAATCTAACACTTTTTACAGTTTACAAAACCATATGTTGATCCAACTTGTTGGTCTGTTTACAATTTACAGCCGGCTACGTGTGTGCAATAAACCGACACCAGCGCCGCCTGTGGAAGGTGGCGCTGTGAGCGTTAAGATGTCAGCGCCCTTAACGAGCGTTTCTGTAACTTACTCACTGATTTTGATCTATGCCATTATATGTTATACTTATAGGTCTAATGATTATGTCCGTTATTAACAGTACCATAAAATCTCTTGATTTTCTATCGAATTTAGAATCTTTTAAATTTTCCAGATCCGATAGCATAGATGGAATTCCTTACATTGACTTACCTATGCTATTTAGTGAATTTTGCCAACAGTTTTTAATAACAAATACACCGTGCTTGCTAGGCGATAGGCTGACGTCTATGTGGCTTAGCAGACGGGAGTGGGTAAACTGCGATGGTACACCGAATTTGGAATTTATTGAGAAAACGTTTGGTATGTTGGGTCGACTGCGTTGTCTATGGTGTATATTTGACATTGTATCAGACTGTCACTGTTACTCAGTGTTAGTGTTAGTGTAGACTGTAGACTATAGTGGCCCTAGGGGTGGCCACACTGGACTTTCACAGGTGCTGTGGTTATAGCAATAGCATGTGTAATTTATTTGTGTCGAGATCATTTTCCGCTCCTACCGTGAAGGCAGGACGGTTATGCAGTAGCAAGAAAACCCCCAGAGTGAAATGAACGCAAGTCTTTATATATAGTCTTTATACAACGGATGGTTTTATTCATCGTATACGAATTACATTCCGTATACGTATCTCAACTATAGCATATAGATATATATAGATATATTACTTATGCCACGTTTATGTTATACCCCGTTATTACACGTTTCGCTTAACTATTAGCTATTCTACGGGTTAATATTGTAGCCCACGGCGCCGCTCCTGGTCCGTCTCTCCCCGTCGTGTGCTGCCGCGGCTCGGCGCGAGTTCGTGGGATGGCAGCGTGTATCCTTGTCCGGGGTAGGCCGTAGCTCCGGGCCCCTCCCTTAGTATAAGAGACTTCTCGGGCGTCGTCCTGCTCGTGGGTGGCTCTCCCTCTGATGGTGTGTGTGCGCTCTCTCGAGCGCGATCGTTCGCTCCCACGAGAGTGTTTGTTTGTTCGTTTGTTTGTTCGTTTGTTCGTTCGCTTTCTCAAGCGCGTTCGTTCATTCGTTCGTTCTCTTTCTCAAGTGCGTTCGTTTGTTCGTGGCCGTCCGAAGACTGACTCGTTTTACTGTTGGATCTTGGCTGCTTATATAGGACCCTGCAGTGACATAGGATCCTGGAAGTGCCTCCCTCTCACGTGCCTCAGGTGCCTGGGTGTTGTCACCCCCCTCGCTTGACACGTGTACGGGTGATGCAACCAGGGAAAAAAATACACGGGAGCGACGAGCGATTTCGCTCTGGTAAGCTCTAAAATCGCTCTGGTAAGAACAATAATGGAAGCGATCGCCCGAGAGGAAATCGCTCCCGTGGCCTGATAAATTGAAATGTACACAAGTACGTACGTACAGCGAGCGCTACATATACACCGTGCATGCAGCAGCGGCTTAAGCTGGGTTTACACTGACGATTATATGCAGTCAAGTTGGCGTTTTTCTTCTTTCTACCAACCTCTCTATAGATATATTCAAAGCTCTTACGTTATTGAGCGCGAGGCGGCAAACGTTTCAACATTTGACCCGTAGCGCACGCGGGGGGGCGACACGGATACCCATTTTTGCATGTATTACATGCCGCGGCGCCTAAAGCAAAAACGTGCTCTCCCCTATGGTGGAGGGACACACTCCTGATTGCTGTTGTCTGATTGGCCACTTGGCAAAAAAACGTCCAACTGCTCCAAGTTAGGGAAATTAGAACATGTTCTAATCTTCCGACTCGGTGCTATTAATCGGCTGGACCTACAACTTTACGCGTTTACACTGGCGATTGTCAGTTGCCAAACTGCCAAGTTTGTACAATTTGGCACATCAAAATCGTCAGTGTAAATCCAGCTTATGTATCCGCTGCAGCTGGCGCTGGCTAGATCAACCCGCTGATGCACAATAAAATACAATTGATAATAAAAGTTATACAACAGAGTGTAGAACTAGAAACTATTGACACTATCATTCATATTTAAATTTATCTTGCCTTGTATTAATCTGCAATGATGTGGTGACAATTGCATTCATACATTACAATTCAATAAATACAATTTACATTTATGTCCCCATCCCCACAAATAAAATAAGAGTACATTATATTATGTATTTTTCGAAAATTTGAAACTGAAAATGACTGGATACATAAAAAAATGGCTCTGGTAAATTTTTGACAAGTCAGAAAAATGGCTCTGGTGAAAAAAAGAGCATTTTTTACCATGGATGCAACCCCCTTGGTCCAGTATATGCACGAGCGTCGCACCCCCCCCCCCTGTCCGCCACGTGCTCGGCTGGTGCAACTCCCTCGCCCCGTGCGTGTACATGGTGGCGCAACTCCCTTACCTCCCACATCTGGTAGCTATGGGACCCCTTCCCCCGCGCTTGTCTGTGTCGTTAGGGAAAATTTTCTACCTGTTGCTAGGGGAACTTTCTATCTCTGTTGTTGTTGAACTGGTCTCTGGTTGTATGACGTCATCCCCCCTGAAATCTCCACATTAGTGTTATAGTCACTGTATATTTAGTAGCACTAAGTACTACTAGCAAGTTTGCTCCTGTAGGCCTACATGGCAGAGCGAAGGGTTACACAGGTAGTGACAGTGTTGAGCTAGATAGGATTACCTAGCTGGTAGCCCTACATGAACAAGACTGGCTCTAGCTTCACAAAACTGTTATGAACTGCTAAAATATGTTATTGCAAGTTGTGCGTGTCATAACCAAACTTGGAATTTGCACAATCTTAAAGAGAGATTCCCTCGAACTTTCAAGCGGCAAACATAAAATCAGGCAAAAATGAATTATTTTAACATTGCACGCTTGTACTTGCCTATATACAGGGTGCAAAATTAACGGGAGTCCGGAGTCAAATACTCCCCGATTTACTGTCGGATTCCCTGATTTGACATATGCAGGAGTCCGTGTGACTCCTTGAAAATTCTGCCATACTAACTGCCATCCTAACTAGTTCATTCCGGAGCACGGCCTCGTGGAATGACCATATTTTTTCAGCTAATGTCCAAAGAAAATTTGGCAGACGTGCAACCGCATAAATCTGAAAAATAAGCACATTCGTTATTGTTAATATCTTTAATTTTGAACCTCTGGCTGCGGACTCCCTCATTTTGCTGCGGACTCCCTCTTTTTGAGGGTAGGGAGCCCGTTGGACTCCCGTGTTCAAAAATTAATTTCTACCCCTGTATATATATGTGTGATAGGTGAACAAAAATTGCTCAGTAATACGTTCATTCAAAGCTTTTAGACTACAAAGTGAAACGTTCGGGTCGAATGTTTCAAACGCGTTTATCGTTGCCACTATGCGGCGATTGTTCCGCTCCACACACTTTCCGTGTTATGTATGTGTAGTACAAACTACCCAATGGACTCATTTGACTGGAATGGGGGAATGGTTTTTCTGGTCACGTACATGGGTTAGCTGATAGGGAAAGGGCTGAAGGGGATAGGGATTATAGTAATCTGAGCGAGTTAACGAGTGAGTGAGGCTGTCAGGGTCTATGTCTCCCTGGGTACTGCCGGAACGTACCCTGGGTACTGTCCGGTATACCGGAACGTACTCTGGTACTATATCTAATATGCCGGACCGTACCTCGCCTACTCCACTAACGAGTCTAGGGAGTCGCCTACGCCTACTCCCTAACCCTAGCTAACCTTAACCCTAACCCTAACCCTAACCCTAACCATATCAGATAGTTACCAGGGTACGCTCCGGTATACCGGACTGTATCCAGGGTACGTTCCGGCAGTACCCAGGGAGACATAGACCCTATCTCGTGATGCCCAAACTGTGGATTTCCGAGTTTGGCTGACCAATCTCAAGATTGGACATGCTGGAAACTGTCGCTTATTCAACTACACTTAATGGCGATTGTGGCGTATGCGAGCATAACTGGTGCAAACTAGGAAGGGATTTCTCTAATAGTTATCAAATTATCTAATATAATAATTTATTATTTTAGCAAAGATGCCAAACACATTGAAGAAAGCTGATGAGAAGATATATAGGAACGTACTCTTTCTGATGATATAACCTTTGATACCCTATGTATTTCAATTAAGTTTGTGCAACCCGGTCCTGCTCACCTAGCTTGCCCAAACTAGGAATTTTTCCTATCAAATTATCTAAAATATCCATTTAATTTCTTAACCAAGATGCCAAATACAATCAAGAAAGAGGATATAGAATCTCATTTCAATGATATAACATTTCATAGCCTATGAATTTAATAGTTAATAAAATATGTAACAGGTTTTGCCCAATTAATCTGCAGATTGGTTGCCCAAACTGCAGATGCACTGAAATTCCTAGTTTGTGCAAGATTCCAAGTTTGGGTACAACATAGATTTAATCTCCCAGCCATCATGGGATAGGCTGATTTGTGTATGTAATGGTCGAGTGTGCGACTGGTGATATGCTGTTACTTTAATTGCGTTGCTAAAAATATCAATTAATATTTGTGCGTTCTTTTCTATTCATAGGCTACACGAATATAAAGTGTCTTTATTGAACAGGCTTGTGAAGCTCTCCATATCAGTAATCTTACATAATCAGTAATTGATATTTGAAACTAACATTCGTTTAGGATCAGCAGTAGTATCTGTGGCCAGCTGCAATGAGCAAAAGTTTTATTCACACCAAAAGCAGGACATGACAGTATCAGGTTATGTGGATTACTGGAGGGCATTCATTGCAAGTGGATATCCTGCAACAATGCCCTGTCTCTACCTCAAGGACTGGCATTTTGTGAGGCAAGTACGTGGTAAACATATTGTATGAATGTTGTAAGAGCCACGTTTTCATAAAACTAAAAACGTTTTGTCAATAATATTTTGTGTATCAACAGACTAAATGCAGGTCTTGATATCATGGTATCAATCCTTTAATTGCATTATATTTGCATATATGAAGACCCGCATTTGTCTTATCTCGAGAACGTGCTGGTCTTTCACAACAGAAGGCAGTATACTGTCTAGTGTTTGTGTTCTGACCGTTGACTGAATTATTGGTCCGTCTCAATATCTTTTACTTCTAGAGAGTTTCCACACTATGTAGCCTATGAGACACCTGCTTACTTCTCATCCGATTGGCTGAACGAGTTCTGGGACAGTTTGCCCGACAAGAAAGATGACTACAGATTTGTTTACATGGGGCCGAAGGGATCTTGGCAAGTTCTAATAGAGTTGCTTTAGAATTAATTCTTAAATAAATGCCATTCTCATATAAATACAGTCAAACCTGTGTTAGCATCCTCTAGAAGACCTCTATAGAACTGTCTGCGAAGGTCATTTTTGGCTTTTCTTTTAACTTTATTTAGGTGCTTTGACCGTTACCAAAAATGTTTTTTTAACCAGAAGAATAAAAACATGCTAACTCTTGAAAATTGGTGGCAGATGTGCATAGCGCTTGATTTATTTGAATGAATCATAATGTCTATTTTGTACAGGACCCCCTTCCATGCTGATGTGTTCCGTTCCTATAGTTGGTCAGCTAATATCTGCGGTCGCAAAAAGTGGATTCTGGTGCCACCTGGACAAGAGGAATGCTTGCGGGACTGCAATGGCAACCTGGCCTATGATCTCGATTCACCAGATCTGAACGACAACAAACTGTAAGAAATACATGAACAAATTTTATCAGGTTTTATAATGTAGTATTTACTGCTGTTTTCAACTTGAGTTACACTTATTTCATTTAAATAAATTTATTGCTTGCTACACCCTCTCAGTGAGCTAAGCAAATATGATAGTAACTCGTAATATTATGTATTCAGTCAAACCTGTGTCAGTGGTCACCTCTATAGAATAGACATCTGTCTGTAAAGATCATTTCACATTTCTTCAAGGAGTAGTTATACAGTCAGATAATTTCTGTGAAACATTCACGGATAAGGACACTTTTGACATTTGTCTTAAGTGAGCCTTATGTACAGATTTGAGTATATAATCTATGTTTATCTGGGTAATTTATCATGATTGTTTCAAATAACGATTTGTTATCATGATACTATTGTCTTTTTTTCAGTTTTCCTAACCACCCAGAGCTGATTCAGAAGTTTGAGGTGATTCAAGAAGCTGGTCAGCTGATATTTGTACCAAGTGGATGGCATCATCAAGTCTGGAATCTGGTAACTGCTTGCCATGATTGTCTAAAAACCAATCAAAATGTCAAAAAATTGTCAAATGCTATATAGGCATATATTATGACATAGATGATAATATATATGCTATATATTATATCAAGGCAAATGTTGTTTTGGGCTTAATCAGAAATTTCAGGGTACCATAGCAAGTTAGAGGTGCACCAATGCAACCACTTCTTATTTATCAACTTTAACTCACATTAACTTTTGATATTGCATGTGCCAAAAAGACAAATACATATGTACAAAATGGAATTTGTTGGAAATCAAGGTAAATTACTGAGGGTAGCCATAGCAGTGTATTGCAGGGAATATCGTCTTATTTTTAGGGATATCGCAGCTAGGAAGTGGTGCCAACCACAGCACTTACCATTGGAGCTGCATTGAAATTCAAGCCCTTTGTTTTAAACTATGCTTTTAGTTTTAGTCATGCATACGTATCTCATATTTTTGTGAACTTGTGTTCATCGCAGGAAGATACGATATCCCTTAACCACAACTGGGTAAACGGCTTCAACATTGACATCATGTGGAACATGCTGCAGGCAACCCTCATAGAGGTGCAGCATGAGATAGAGGATGTCAGCGACATGGAGGGCTGGGAACAACAATGTCAGGTGTGTAATTGGCAGGTAGATAGTTTACACACTATTTAAATGATTACTACAAGCCTGTCTCTTGTCAGTCTTGCATTTCTGTGACATAATTCTGTGCATTTGAAGGTATTTCTGAGTATTTATATGTAGTAGTAAATCTTTGTCAATATTCACTCACTGTTCATCATGAACCCAGGGGGTCGTTGTCAGAAACATCGTAAAGTTAATGGTAAGACTAATTTTGTTTCTGGCAATGGGCCCCAGGTTATGAACTCTACGATGTATATCAGAAGTGAATAAACACAATTTGTTTGTATTCACTCCTGATATATGTGAAAGCCTACAGATCAGAGATATCTTCTGATGTCAACTGTTGATATCTTCTTTAATGAGTTTTTAACTGTTGTGCTTCTCCAGTGCCGTAGTCATGATCGATCATTCCCCATCTTCACAAATTTCTCTCCTCACAATAGTTAATGGTATCATAGTTATTTTTCATTGACGACATTCGAATCCTCAAATATTTTGTTAGCCGCTTTGGCTCCAATCATAGAACATAGGCTCTCGGCAACCGTGTTGCCTTGGTTTTATTAAGAGGTTTTCTCCAGTGAAGCTATTCGCTATTATGAGGGGAGGTTGTTCACCTTACACTGGCGAGATAACCCCATTTTACAATAGGTGTCAAAGCAAGTCGGGATAAAGTTCATTGACCAGGGGCACAACAACGGTAACCACAATGGGGCTTGAATCCCAGGGGCCCGTTGTCAGAAACATCGTAAAGTTAATGCTAATGTTAATGCTAAGATAACACTTACGACTAATGTTAATGCTACGAGAGTAGCGTTGACAGAAACACATCGTAGCTACGAGCAAACTCACGATAACAGGAACTTCATAATTTCATGTCACAAGGCTGCTGATTGGATGAGAATCGATCACAAAATTCAAATTCATACACATTTATTGTACATCACAGTAATTTATGCATATTATGATGGCTAACCACATATAAATAATATTTGATGAAAAACGACGTGGTCATGAATTTATTCTGCACAACAAGACAAATTCTCACACTGTAACGCGAGATGAAAAACACATTTTACTCATTAATATAAAATATACTATCACTGTAATTGTAATTCTGAGTGTAACTATATTATTTTCATCCTAATATTAAAGTTACGAGAGGGTCTGGCCTCTCGTAATGTTAGGAGGAAATTTCCGAAGATTTTTCATTCTCGTAACTTTGCAATGTTTCTGTCAACGGTTTTCGAGTGGAAGTTAATGTTAATGCTAATGTTAAGACTAATTTTGTTTCTGACAACGGGCCCCAGACCTTTCCATCTGAATTCAAGCGTGCTATCTACTAGTGCACCACTGCCTCTCTCCTGACGATTTCTACCTTCCCGAAAAGCTGGAAATTCGAGCCAAAAATCGTAACTCAACCAGCAAAATAAATGGAATAGCACTAGAGCCTAGCCACTCCATTTACCATTCATAATCTCACGGTTATTCTGATTCTTTGCTTAGGTGGTCTTGCAAGCTTACAGTGGCATCGACTACTTCAATTTTGCCAACCTTCTCACAGCGATTGCACGGCACAGACTGAAGCGACTCAAGACGTTATGCCGGCTAGCTCGCTGTTGTGGCTGTGACAGCTATATGCCCAATGATGTGTCATGCACTGGGGACCACGCACCACAACCTGTGCTGCCAACCAGCAGCACGTGTGAACGGGGAGAGGAAAGAGAATGTGATTGTTGGCATGCTGGAGAACCCAGCCCTGATAGCTGTGAGCAATGTCAGGGTCCTACGAGTAAGGAAGTGGATCATGAAGGTCATGATCGAGAAGAAGTGCAGGTGCAAGGTCATGAGCAGAAAGCTGCACAGCTGCGAGGTCGTAAGTGGGAGGAAGAGAAACATCTAGGGCATGATCGAGAAGAAGTGCAGTGTGGCATTCATGAGGGGCCAGATAGAGCTGGGTGCAACAAATGCAGCAACAAGTTACAACACCCCAATGCCAAGTCACCCACCTTGTCACCACATCACCTCCTGTTCGACTTGGGAAGAACTTATCAACACCTGAAGCTACTACTTGCAAGCGCTGACTTTCAGCTCGTGGCACCGTCTAGTGAGGATATAGCTCAGTCACCTGAAGAATGTTTACTGGATATGACTGTCACATTAAATCAGTTTTACTGCAGTGATTGTTTCAAGAAGCTCTAGTCGTGTTGAGGTGGTGTCTCTTGCGGCACCACCATCACCGACGTGCATTAAGTGAACGTCTTCACTGATTTTATTTTATTTTGTTTCAATCATGTCAGAGCTTTCTGAAAACTTTTCTTCATTTTTAACGAATTCAAATGTCTTCCAGAGGAATCGCTATATTCTTATGCAATATATTGGTAAATTGTTGGTGCTTTAAGCCATAATTTCGAGAATTATCTACTGTTTTCTCAACTTTTATGATACCTACCGTTATTGCTTGAGTAACACCAACTGTCTTGAATTACGATAAAATGTATATAATTAGAACCTTCATATTCACCAAAACTTGAAGTTTTGAATTCGTTTGATTACCACCGCCCTTTCTTGTAATCTTGGACCAGTTAGTAGCGCCAGCTATCGTCCATAGACTTACACGTTGCTCACACAATCTTGTTAGCACAGGCAAATTACAAGTTGACACGTTTAACAAATCTCGCGACTTGATGTTATTTTCGTTGTGTTACGATGTGTTCGTATCCCATTTTCTATGCTATGACTGCATAAAATCTTAGTGTTTTTCAAATTAGTGTAACCAGTGATATATCCGCTGCGAGGTGAGACTATATTTTGTTATATTTTATTCGGATTTAGCAAGAATCTCGCAAATATTCCTTTAATGAGAAATGTCAAGAATTTCTACCTGTTCTAAAATCATGCTTTTTATATTAGTCGACACTCTTATTGTCACGTACCACTCCTTTACTATTACTGACCACACTATAGCTGTTGCTAACCACTTCCTTAAATTAGTAACCACACTCTGCATACAGTAATGCAATGATAACTGTTTCTGCAACCACATTACACGCTCCACCTATTATTCTTCCACACGAGGACACAGGGAAAGGGCACAAGCTAGATGTCATGCAACGGCTTTGCACACGTTTTGAGCAGCGAAATGTATAGGAAAAAATTAATGAGGAATTGGGACAATAACAGACATGCTATTCATTCATGAACATGCAAAGCCAAATGTATAAGTTCTATAAATTTTCAGCGGCAGTAAAAATGGAATGAAGTAAATTCAATTCATCTCACACGATCCTACGTTAATAGGTAAGGGCAATCGAGTATAGAAAAATTCATAATCATCAGTATGAGATCTGCACCTACCGGTTACTGTGTCATCATCACGTCCCTGGTATTTTTGCAGTGTGTCTTGCAAAGAGCTGATAATTATAACCAAGTAGAGATCTAACAAGAGATTTGATGAATGATGTATGCCATCTCCACATAACTATCACTCCTTATAGCATTGGGGAAGTTACGCAATAATGCCATCACGTTGCCAAAGCATTTTACTGGCAGCATTGCTGGTCGCTTTCGCACCGGTAAGCAACAGGGTTGTCATTTAAAGGTGTAGGCAAGCTAGATGCATTATTAGGTAGCTTTACCAAATATAACTGTTTGTACCAACAAGGCTGTACAGAAGATAACGAATTTCTTAATGGATATAAACTTCGCTATGGATCTCAACTGCATTGATTTCTAAGTTTTGTACTACTCGATTGTTGCCAAAGTCAAACATTACGTGGTATCTTTGGTTTTGCTGTCGTAGTCCTTGCTGGTTGTGTTGTTGCTGGTTGTGTAGTTCCTGGTTGTGTAGTTCCTGGTTGTGTCGTTGCTGGTTGTGTTGTTGTTGGTTGTGTCGTTGCTGGCTGTGTCGTTGCTGGTTGTGTAGTTCCTGGTTGTGTCGTTGCTGGTTGTGTTGTTCCTGGTTGTGTTGTTGCTGGTTGTGTTGTTGCTGGTTGTGTCGTTGCTGGTTGTGTCGTTGCTGGTTGTGTCGTTGCTGGTTGTGTCGTTGCTGGTTGTGTCGTTGCTGGTTGTGTCGGTGCTGGTAGTGTCCTTGTTGGTTGTGTCGTTGCTGGGTGTGTTGTTGCTGGGTATGTTGTCACATGCTCTGCGCATTCAGCATTCAATTCCGGAGGTGTCCCTGCAAGAATGTTTTCATATAAAGATGTTAATTGCATTCTATTTTCTTCTCGTTTATCGATTTGCAGGCTATATGTAACGATTTCCGTTCCTACAGAACATTATAAAAAAAAGTACAGAGAAGTGCCTTATCCAGGGGCGCAGTCGAAGAAAGTGTGATTTCTTAACGTTAATTAGAAAGCTGAGCTATTCGAACTGATTTCAGCGGAATCAAATAAGCTAGTTCCTAGCTCTTGCACGCAAAATCCATGACTAAACGAGACCGCAAATCCTAAACTCTTCAAATAACATGTTTGAGTCGTGAATGTTATATAATATAACATTCACGACTTAACACTTATTCCATTAACTATTATCCATTCGGCCTTTGCTACTTTAATTTACACGTTTATTCTTTACTCACGCTTAAATTCTAATGATAATAAATTTGGTCCTCACCATATTTTAACACTGAAATATGGTGGTTACAACACAGATTGGCTTTCTATTACTAGACGCATTCCCGCCCAGACCAGATATCTACCAAGATATGTGCAAAGATTCACAGTTTACACTGACTGTTATTCACTATTCGTGTGAGTGGTACCTTGACCAGCCACGTAGATGAACCTTCCTGTTATGTTTCCATTATTGAACGGCGACACGCAGCACGAGTCGTTGTCAGGTTCTACTTGGCCGTATGTGCCGAAGGGACCACGCACACACCAGCATTTGTTTGGGACTGACGGATCTTTAGCATAGAAGCTGTGCTTCTTGCAGGCGGACTCGCAGTGATGAACGTGGGCGCTTATGCCGCCGATATCCGTAAAACTCTCACTGTTGACGTCATCCAAGTAACAGTGATTCAACTTTGCTGTGGGTGGTAAAGCAGTGCATGACTTTCCGTTAGGGTGGTTAGGAGAGCCTTTATGTAGAGTTAGCGGAAAAACATACGTGGTTTATGTATGTGTGTGTGTGTGTGTGTGCGTGCGTGCGTGCGTGCGTGCGTGCGTGTATGTGTGTGTGCGCGCGCGTGTGTGAGTGCGTGTGTGCGTGGTGCATGTGTGTGTGTGTGTGTGTGTGTGTGTGTGTGTGTGTGTGTGTGTGTGCGTGTGTGTGCGCGCGTGTGTACGTGCGCGCGTGTGTACGTGCGCGCGTGTGTACCTGTGCGCGTGTGTACGTGCACGCGTGTGTACGTGCGAGCGTGGCCATGTGCGTTTCGAATGTAGGTTGCATATAGGCAGCATCACTGCGCCGCAAACACACTCTACATCCGAGTCACAATGTGTTATATCAAACCTGGCATGGCCTCGTGTTCTGCTACGCTGCATCCAAGGACTTCTACTTTAAGTACCGGGAAAGTAACAAAACTTTTCACCATAAATTTCAGCTTCGCTGTGGTGATGTGAGGTTGAAGCATGTTGACCCTTGGCGTGGTCACGTCCAATCTACTCACTACGGCCTCGAATGTCTGGCATACGGGGAAAAGAACATCGATTTGTTGTTACTTGTATACGTAAAATTAGGATTCATATTTTAAACAATAACGTATTCACGGGTTTAAGAAATAAATGCCAATAGCAAATGTGCCGATCAACAGAGAAAGCCCATACAATGATATTTTAAATTACCTATTTAATATGGATGTTCGCGCTTTGTAGACCTACATAACTACTTATAGATTTACACTAAGCACTTACCCCTGCCGTAACATAGGTCCCCGATGGGCCATCTTCGTATAGGAGTGTAAAGTTTTCGACAGAGCAACTCGAACTGCTGGAGCCACACGTGGCGACGCCCTGTGTGGCGACTCCTGTGATCACATGGGGCTGGTTAAACGTCAGCTGCCAACAAAAGATATACATTAATTTGTGATGATCCACCTTACCTACCTGGTCCTGGTTCTGGTCCTGTACCTAACCTCCAACCACTTATGCAGACGATGGGCGTCATCCCCAACGCGCCTATATGTGCAGGGTAATGCTGCCTAGTGACTGAAGGTGTTGTAAGTGCAAACGGCAGTGGACAGACGGACGCTCAGTGGAGACGGCAATGATAAAAAAAATAACATGCTGGTTTAGGATCGTGCCATGAGGTGATCATAACAAAGTCGTAACTGATAAAAAAGTCAAGAACCTGAATATGTATTGATTCAACGGTGTTGAAGTCCTTGAACCAATTTTGTTCGATAGTGTTGTAATGTAGTCGGTTCCATTCTTTCCATCCCTGATCTTCGGCCAGTACACTAGGTCTACCAGATACTAATCTGCGAAAGCACATGGCTGAAAAAATATATAGGACAATATATATAACATTGATGTGTTAAAGATCTTGTCATTATGTGCGTGCGTGACAATTCACACACACAAGCACACACACACGCGCGCACGCGCACACATATATATATATATATGTAACGAATTTCGGTCTGTCGCAGCGCCACATCCCCGCGTTCTACCCCCTGCAGTCTGCCCAGCATCCCCGGGTGATGGAGGCCTCATCCCCGCATGCAGGGGCAATGTACACGTGCTTGACACGAGCTTGTATTGCGCCGTACTCGTGACACTGAAGCTGACGTGCGTGTCACGTGTGATGCCGACGTGCTTGGCTACCTCTTCCTGGCGTATGATTGACGTGTGTTGAAGCCGTACACACACGCTCCGAGGCGTATATATACTGCGCTCTCCAGAGAACCGGCAGTCAGTCCGCAGTCAGCCTGCTAGTCAGTCTGTAGCTAGTCAGCCTGCTAGTTAGCCAGTGACTGGCCAGTGGTAGAGACCAGTCAGTATCAGCCTGGAGCTGAGGGAAGAGCTGCCGCGAGGAGGATAAACACAACGCAAGGTACAACACTGAGACCTCTACCGACGATCTCTGCACGGAGTTGTCATCTTCCTACAGACGATCGTCTTGGTAAGGCCTAGTGCCTATAGTCGCATTGATATTTTATGTACTCGGGCGTTACGCTGCGAGGAATATTGCACCGTATTTTATGCTCACCCTGGTCTGATGACCAGGGCGGAATAAAGCCCCGGGCCTATTCCCGGCGTGAACACTTTTACTTTTAAGTTGTGTTGTTTGTTCTTGTGTTGACTCGTACAATCCAGTGGTCGAACAGTGGGAGCGTCCCGCGTGACGGGGAAAAACGTTACATATATATATATATATATATATATATATATACTGAAGATTACGGACATACTAGAGAGATGGTCTATCCTACATTACATATAATACGTGACTGTTTCTTGCAGGTTGTTGTACCGGTAGAGTTGCACGTGACCACAGCAGTTGAAGCGCGGTTGTAAGTGATCCTGTAAAGTCCATCTCTCAAAAGCTCATGTCTCAACGTAGTACTCGAAGATGTGGCTTTCTCACGTATTATGTCATTAGTGCAAGACGGAAAATTTGTCACATAATCGTTACTGGCATCTGAAAATATTTTGTTCGTTATTCGAAAAGTCTTGATGACGTTGCTAAATTCTCATGTTGTGGAATAGGTTAATTCAAGAAATTACTACGCGAGTAAACCTGATCGTTTTTAGAATTCCAGTATTCGCAGAGGTTTATGCATGCGCTTAGGTAGAACACTTAGGTATTTTCGAGATAAGTACATTCATGCTATCGAGTACTAAATAGTTGCATGAAACAGAAGAGCCTTTTCGCATATGGGTCATTCCATCAGGTTGGGGAACAGTGCGTATGCAGCAATATCACATTTGAAGTTGCTTTTAAGATTCATTCACAGACATTTTTTTTATTAACCCGTAGCTTGTCTCAAAGAAGCAAACCTAAGCTTCAAAACAAGACCAAACTTCACTGCATTGGACAAAATTTCACTGTTAAAAAAAGACAACAAAATGATGGTGTCAGGAGTTATTTGTAACAAAATGTGTGACATATGGAAACTATAAAAATAAGTATTTCGTTTCATATTAAGAATGCATATTTCCAAATTTTTCTTATGGTTTTACGTTCGAGAAATAACCCAAACCTCTCCATAAAAAACAACCTTCACCGTCTGAAAATCCCAAACACATCAGCTGCGATCGTAAAAAACGACCACTTCGACATAACTATGGTGTCAACACATATCGCAAATTGTTACGTCCACTCACTCAATTGTAAGTTACTTCCACGGGGGGGAAATGTAGCATATCATATTTAATTTGTTGTTTGAGTAGTTGTAAGTTTGTTTGTATGAAAAAATATTTTTAAGAAAATCCAGTTTCTTAAAAATTGACCGGTGTTTGTGCAAAAATACACCAGTGGTGTCAGTCGAAATTTTTGTTACGTCGGAGCGCCATGACAGCTAGTTCTATGACAGGCCATTGTGTATGTATGGTACACTGACAAATTTCCTGCACATCTACAATACATAATTATTTCTAAATTTTAACGTATGGTAGTTTTCTTATTCGAAGACATGGATAGATTTACTTTTTGAACATTGTCAAAATTTCACTATCGCTGAGAGGGGCTATGCCCCCCAGGGTACTGCCGGAACGTACCCTGGGTACGGTCCGGTATACCGGAACGTACCCTGGTACCATCTAATATGCCGGACCGTACCTCGCCTACTCCACTAACGAGTCTAGGGAGTCGCCTACGCCTACTCCCTAACCATATCAGATAGTTACCAGGGTACGTTCCGGTATACCGGACCGTACCCCGGGTACGTTCCGGCAGTACTCTGAGGGACATAGACCCTATGAGCTTCACTATCATGTCACACTTTGTTCCCCAACCCGATGGAACGACCCATATAGAGTGACTCTGTAAGTCGTTGTTGACATCATCGCCTTTTGAGCGCAAATACAAGTATGATCGGAGTCGGATTACTATTTTCGCGGATATATCGCGAAGGCTAGATATATAATTATACTCACCCGGAATTTGTTTGCATATGAATTCACGCTTCTCGCTACAGTTATCAACCTGCAAACCCACGTCCGTGCCTGCTGTCGCGCATTGATATTGAGTATCGCCGACCATGGGCGAAACTTTGATGATATCGTTCACCCACTGCTCAGTGATTTCCCCATCGTCCCATAGTTCATAGTCTCCGTCAGAATTCGTGTCGTATAGTCCGATGAAGCTATTGAAAGAAGAATAGAAAATACTATCGCACGTTCAATATACTGTTACTGAAATAGTAATGATTGAAAATATTGTGAAACCCATGTCAACCTGTTCGCCAGTGTCGGGTGAACCGTGTGAATAAATCACTGTGCTTGGTATACAATAATGCACACAAAAACCGTTGTCATGTGACTATTAAATGCTATTTCTTCTTCTTCTTTTTCTTCTTCTTCTTCTTCTTCTTCTTCTTCTTTTTCTTCTTCTTCTTCTTCCTTTTTCTTCTTTCTTTATCTTCTTCCTTCTTCTTCTTCTTCTTCTTCTTCTTCTTCTTCTTCTTCTTCTTCTTC